AAAAAATAAAAAAATGATGGAAATGTCAAAAAATAAAAGAAAATAAGTTTCCCATATGATATGTGGTCTAGTTGGAAAATTTACAAATATGAATTTTGACTTTATTTGTAAAATCTCTTTCGAATTTAGTAAAATGGGCATAACTTTTGCATACGAACTCGGATTAAAAAGTTTTTTATATGAAAAAATCTTCTACTCGAAAAGTTACATCCGAATTAAACTGGGGGAACCTCGTTGAAGATTTTTAGAATCCCCAAAAACCTAACAGAATAAAAGATACAGTGCTTTTAAGATCTGGCGGAAATGGAAAAAATTTCAAACTTAGTAATGGCGCATCATTTGCTAGGTGCGCCACTAGTAACAGAAAAAAAATTGATTTCGAATTTTTTTTTTGGAAAAAATGTTCAAAATATGATACGTAATATGACCAGGAAGTTTGAAATATTTTTTCAAAATTTCATCACACTCATGAACATGAACAAAGTCCTAGACATCAACAAGGTTTAATAGGATTGATATGATAGATATATCAAGTGCACGTTAAGTGAGCTGGTGCTGGGGTTGGATAGAACTGAGAAGTTAAGCGTGCTGGGGCTGGAGTAGTGTCAGGATGGGTGACCTTCCGGGAAGTTTGACCACGCAGTGCGATTTGATTTGAGATTAAGTATATTGACCCGAGATTAAGCCATAGTGACCCGAGATTAAAAAAACAAAAAAGTTATTCTAAAAAAAAATTGGAAAAAATATTTGAAAAAAAAATTCTGAAAAAAAATTGTTAGTAATGACGTATTTCTATGTGGTGCGCCATTACTAAGTCAGATAGTAATAGCGCACTTCTACGCATAGTAATGGCGCACTATAGGTGCACCATTACTATTTGTTACTAATGATGTGTTAATAGTGGCGCACCTATCGCCATTAATAGTGGCGCACCTACATGGGCCAGGCTCAACATTTCAGCCTTTTTATCTTTTTTCTACCAAATTATGCTTAACCAAACAAGTCCAGCCCAATGTTTTCTAGGCTTTTTCTTTCCTGGGCCTTGGCCTTTCCATATTCATTTATTTTCGTTTTATATTTTTACCCAAGATATTTGGCCAATATAATTTGATCCTTGGCCTGTTTAAGGCCCAACTCCAGCCCATTTAACAAACATTTTCAAACCAGTTTGAATAACAATATGAATCAAGTTACCACCAATTAGCTGAATATTACGGAAATATCTCAGAACGCACATTCTACAAATTTCCATCACATACGTATTTTATACAGATCCAAGCAACCTACAACATGTTGTAGTCAAGCATTCAGCTGCTGAAATACTCTAGAACAGCAAAAATAAATAGAACAAGCCTATCTAGTGCTTCATGGCGGGAAAACATGTAATCTGCTTCCTCAAGTACTGCTTCTTCCTGATGCAAAACATCTGGACATTCAAAAGAGAACAAAAAGTATGTCACTGATAGAAGAAATATTACGTGGATACTTTTAAAATAAAAACTAAAGACACACCAGTATTTTATCATTCTACTTATTATTATTTTAACAAGATCATTCTACTTATCTGGAATAGGCATATTCATCAAAATTGGGAATTGAATTTGGACATATGACAATCTTAGCAGCAAATAAGCATTGAATGTTTCACATATACGACAAGGTTTAAAAAATGATCATTCAAAGTTATAGCAGATCAAAGTTCCATTTGAGTATAAGGAACAATACTCATATTCAATCAATAAGTAACAATGTCAAAATTAATTCAGATTTACTCATGTGTGTGTCACATGATACATGCATCAATCATAAGGCCATCAAGCATTCGGCCCTTATCTGTTCAACAAGACAAGAACATACCTGACTTTGTGTTTATGTGATGGATGGTTCTGTAGTGGTAGATCTAGTCTGCATCATCGTTCATGATGGACATCGCATGTACTTGTCCATTTAGAAGTATGCAATGCAAAATGTTACAAAGGCAAGTATTAGCATAAAGTAGAGCTTGTACAGTACATGTAAACTTTAGATATGAAGGACCAAGAGTTCCGGAAGGAACAAATCTGACATGGGTAAACCAGGACATGATGGGAAAAAAAATCGTTATGCATTTAAATAGGAATATGGTGTCCACTTTATACTACCACGTCATAATCAGGGTTAAAACAACATACTGATACTCAGAGTGCTAGATGAGACAAATATCGATTGAAACCAATCAGAGCAGGGAGCAAAATAGATCCTCTATTTAATTGTCATAAGTATAGAAGCTGAAGGACAGAGATGAAGCACCCGTAGCTCAGTTTGCTAGCTCACAGGACATAAAAATTGGCAAAACATTCAGAAAGCACGACTCTAATCTTAATGTTGTGTGGAAAAAGGACAAGAATTGTACAAGTTTAGTACTATACACAGCAATGAGGATAACTTCAGTAGTGCACAACAAATTTAGTCAGTTATCGAATCATCTTGTGGCTATACCACATGTTGACATCAATCACACACGACTGTTCCAGACTGAATCCCCACACACGGCATATATAAACCAAACTACTATATAGACAAATCACCTTTGCTTTCCCAGATGACAAAATGCAAGACACAATCACGGATAAATCCACAGGTAGAGAGCTAAGCCAGGAGAATCACCACTGTACCTTGCCTATCTACAGCTTGTTGAACACATCCAGGAGAATCTTGTAGTTCTCAATCATTTCATACTCCGTCTTGGCATCGAAATTCACCTGCAAAATACCCCAAAATGAGCATCGCATCACAGCTATCTAAGCTAAGCCGCCTAAGCGCAACGCTCCAAAACAGATCAATCAGGCCAGAACGCCTCCTAACCTTGTGCATCAGCAGCAACCCAGGGTGAACCATGTCCAGCAGCTGGCACTGCACCTCCCCTGATGCCGCCTGCAGACTTGATGATCCTTGCCCCCACGACGACCATGTCATGATCCATGCGGAGCTCCACCTCCTGCACGTCTGATCCATGCTCCAGTGGAGGCTCGGGCTCCACCCTCGAATCCGGCGGTGACTGCAGAAAGATAGAGAGAGATCGAGCAAGTCAAACAGAGAGAGGGGGCAGGTCCAATATACAAGTTGTCATGGTCTATTAGCATTCTCAATAGACTAAATAGAGCACCCTGGTATGAGCAAAATCACTTACCATTTTTGTTAATAAATATCAGCAAAATGCATTACCATTTTTGTTAATAAATATGCATCATGTTCAGGTATTGGTCAAGCTATTGAAGCTGATCATTGTGACTAACACCGGCACGATGCACGATTCTAGCAAATGTTGATTGGCCAGTCACCTTGATCGGTATTGATTGACATTAACCAGATAAAAAATGTATAATGTGCACGCATGGCAGTAAAAATCTTGCATATAATGTTTACTGCACAAACATTTTTTAGCTTAAAAGTAGAAGCAAATTTGGGCTATTCTCTCAATCATGATAAAATGATTGATCATGCCCCCAAAATACGTTTGAGTGGCAGGACACAACATAGGACAAGCCACTCCATAACTGAAATACTGGACTGGGTTGTTAGAGCTAACCACAGTGAGACTAGCAGAACGATAAACAGGAAGAAATTATAAATACAAGGCCAACTGAAACCCAGATCACACATATTATGCGAGTGTGAGAATACTCGGGTATACTTAACTAGGGTTTAGTACACAGGTACAGTTTAAAAGCATACCAGATCAGGTATAAAACCATGCACCTAGGTTTAACTTATCAAGGTTTTTCACTTTCCATTTATAAAACACAACAGCTAAATTGATTACCCAAAACATGTATGCTAGTGGTCTACTGGAAGCATTGCATAGTTAATGTTTTGCTTACTACACTGCTGCCATCTAGGTCTATCAGATTATGCAGTGAGGATGTCTGATCTACTAGCTCTGCTTTGTGTTCCTTATCTTCATCCTCTGAGCGAGGCGGACGATAGAATCAAAGTGATAACATTTATAAAACTACCAAGTGACTGAGAGCAAGGCAACCTGACTGCAAGTTGAAAATTATTACAACCTGACTATGAAAAATTAAACACTGGAAGGGCCAGATATGGGAGCCCTCGAGTCCCTGGAACACCCTCCGGATCTGCTCCAGCCTCCGAATCATGGTCCTATGAGCCAACAAACAGATATTCTCACGTCGCTCACCACCCAAACCGAAGGGGGAACGGGATCTGGATGGGGCGGTTACCTTGAGCTCGAGGGGCTCTCCGGCGCGCTTGAAGTAGATCTTGACGAGAAGGCGGCCCTCATTGTGCTTGTAGAGGAGGCGGCCACGCCTGACGAGGTCAAGCATCACGAGGTTGTAGGTGGAGGGCAGGTCGTGCAGGTAGGACTGCATCGCCGAGGCCTGCGTTGTCCTGCGATCTTATTCCCCATCACCGCCACGGTGCCCCTCTGCCTCCCCCGAGAGGGCGGACTCACACACGCCCATCTCCTTGGTGCAGCATAGGATGGTGAGTCCGACAAGAGGCAGGGGAGGCGTGGGCACGAGGGGCGAGGGGCAGGGGAGGCGTGGACGCGAGGCTAGACAAAGTAGGAGAGCCGCGACGTTAAAGGTGGCTGCGACGGTGCCACCAGAGGTCAGGAAGAAGGAGGGATCTGGTGTTGTATCTCGTTTTGGTAGGGTGGTGGATCTGGGCGCTCCCTCACCCCTTGCTCGATCTGTGGATGGGTACAGGAGAGGGTGGAGCGGCTGGGCTTGGGAGTGGGGGTCGAGCTCCGCCGGAGGGAGGTGGCCGACGCGCGCAGGAATGGAGATGGAGGCCGGGGGTGGGAGGGCAATGGGTTGTGACTTTGATTGGATCTGGGAGGGAGAATGGTTTAGCGGCGGCTGGAGTGGGAGGGGATCTGAGTTAGGGTTTGGGTGGTTGGGCTGTGGGCAGACCTGGCCAAACGGGCCGGCCCGGCATGGCACGGCCCGGTCTGTGCTAATCGTGTCTGGCCCGGCACGGCCTGCCATGGCATGTTTAATAGCCGGGCCGTGCCGGGCCAGCCCACGGGTGCTGCTCCTTGGCCCAGGCACGGCCTGATTAGTAAACGGGCTGGCCCGATGGCCCGTTTAGCACGCTGGGCTGCACATTTTCAGCCTGCTAGGTTGGTTTTTAGGCCTATTGGGCTATATTTCAGGTATATATATATATATATAAAAAATCTAAAAATTATATAAAAAAATTAAACGGGCTGTGCCGTGCCAGCCCGCGTGCCCAGGCTCCAGGCCTAGGCACGGCCCAAGGCGTGTCGCGTGCCTGGCACGGCCCGTTTAGCCCATGTCGTGCCTGGCCCATGGCGGGCCGTGCCGGCGTGCTCGCGGGCTGGCCTATTTAGCCCGGCCCGTTTGGCCAGCTATAGCTGTGGGTGGGACGAGGTGGGGAGTGTAGGGGGTGTGGGAGTATCCGACGGTCTCTGATGCTTGATCCGCGTGACATATCCATAGTCCAATCAGAAGGAAGTATAGGCTTTGATGATGTTATGACCATGTAAATTGGTCTTAATCGATTAACAATAAGAAAAGAACTACGAGTAAGCCAGGTGATTTTTTCTAGAAATCATCTGCCTAGCTAGCCGCCCAATCTACGCATTGGCGGTCATTCAACCACATCAATATGTCACGAGAGCACCGAGCGTGAAAAAGCTTCAATGCAACACCAATGACATCCCCACGAAGCTCCATTACAGCTCTCAACGGCATGCTAAGAGCTCCAACACCGCACCACGCTGCTCGACGAAGCTCCATTGCAGCATCGGGGAGATCCAACGCAGCACCACGACGCCCGGCGGTAAGTTCCCTTTTCTTTTTATGACAAAGTTTAAGTGCGGTTCCCTCAAATAACTAGAGGTAGTTTCATACTAGGTGGGATTTTTGTCGATTCACTACGAAGCGGGTAAAATTTTGACAACAGCTGCCTCATAGTTTGTTCAAATGATTCCATATTTCGCACAAGTTTGCATCTTGGAACTACAAACAATGTTGCCAAAGAGATTTTTTATTTTATTTTCACGAAAAATCAATTTTCCATTTTTTGAGTGCCCCAAATAAGTTTTTTTGTGAAAGACCTACCATATATTTCTTACAAAATTGGACCAAATCAAATTTGTAAAATATTAGGCCATGTTTAATGCACAATTGACCAAATGATTGGGTGTCAAAAGTTTCGACCCACCTCTGGTGAAAAAGATAAATTTCCGTCGATGTAGTTTGAAGCGGGTCAAGTTTGAACTGTAGTTGCCTTAAAGTTTGCTCTTTATTTTTTCCAAAAATCATTTCTAGGTAAATAAGTATCTATTTAATCAGAAAAATACCAAAAGTTTTCCAAGATTCAAGCACTAGCTAGGAATGGTCATGCCCGCCGTTTTGACCGCATTTTGAAACTGGCATTAAAAATTCAAAAAAATCAAAAATTGGGAAACCTTCGCATTGTGTCATTATATGTGACCAAGTTACCAGAAAAAATAATAATCTTGTAATACGGTAATTATTTTTAAAAAGTGTTATCAGAAATGAGCTATCATGCGTGAAGATTCATGGCTTTCAAGCCAAATGATCAATCTTATGGCCACATTCATGACGTAGTTTGTTCAAATGATCTTATATCGTGCACAAGGGTGCATCTTAGAATGGCAAACAATGTTGCGTACGGAGGTTTTCATTTTCTTTGGACGGAAAATTCATCTTCCATTTTTTTGAGGGCACAAAATTAGTTTTTTTGTGAAGGACCTACCATATATTTATTGTGAAATTGTAATGAATCATATTAGGCCATATTTAATGCACAAGTGACAAAATTGTTGGGTCTTAAAAGCTTTTATCCACCTCTCGTGAAAAAGACAAATTTCCACCGATTCAGCAGGAAACGAGTCAAATTTGAACTGCAGCTACCTTATAGTTTGCTCTTTATTTTTTCCAAAAATCATTGAAGGAAATATGCCCTAGAGGCAATAATAAAGTTATTATTTATTTCCTTATTTCATGATAAATGTTTATTATTCATGCTAGAATTGTATTAACCAGAATCATAATACATCTGTGAATGCATAGACAAACATAGTGTCACTAGTATGCCTCTACTTGACTAGCTCGTGAATCAAAGATGGTTAAGTTTCCTAGCCATAGACATGAGTTTTCATTTGATTAACGGGATCACATCATTAGGAGAATGATGTGATTGACTTGACCCATTCCGTTAGCTTAGCACTTGATCATTTAGTATGTTGCTATTGCTTTCTTCATGACTTATACATGTTCCTATGACTATGAGATTATGCAACTCCCGTCTATCGGAGGAACACTTTGTGTGCTACCAAACGTCACAACGTAACTGGGTGATTATAAAGGAGCTCTACAGGTGTCTCCGAAGGTACTTGTTGAGTTGGCGTATTTCGAGATTAGGATTTATCATTCCGATTGTCGGGGAGGTATCTCTGGGCCCTCTCGGTAATGCACATCACTATAAGCCTTGCAAGCAATGTGACTAATGAGTTAGTTGCGGGATGATGCATTACATAACGAGTAAAGAGACTTGCCGGTAACGAGATTGAATTAGGTATTGAGATACCGACGATCGAATCTCGGGGAAGTAACATACCGATGACAAAGGGAACAACATATGTTGTTATGCGGTTTGACCGATAAAGATCTTCGTAGAATATGTAGGAGCAAATATGAGCATCCAGGTTCCGCTATTGTTTATTGACTGGAAACGTGTTTCGGTCATGTCTACATAGTTCTCGAACCCGTAGGGTCCGCACGCTTAAGGTTTTGATGACAGTTTTATTATGAGTTTATGACGAGGAGTCTCGAAATGGTCGATACGTAAAGATCGATATATTGGACGACTATATTTGGACATCGGAAAGGTTCCGAGTGATTCGGGTATTTTTCGGAGTACCGGAGAGTTACGGGAATTCGCCGGGGAGTATATTGGCCTTATTGGGCTTTAGGGGAAAGAGAGAGGGGAGGTTGGGCGCCCCCCCAAGGCCTAGTCCGAATTGGACTAGGGGGAAGGGCTGCGCCCCCTCCTTCCTTCTCTTCTCTCTCTCCTTTCCTTGACTCCTACGCCTACTACTTGGAAGGGGGGGAGAATCCGACTCCCGGTGGGAGTAGGACTCCTCCTAGGGCGCGCCATAGAGAGGGCCGGCCCTCCCCCTCCTCCACTCCTTTATATACGGGGAGGGGCACCCCTTGGAGACACAACAATTGATCATTGATCTCTTATCCGTGCGTGGTGCCCCCCTCCACCATAGTCTCCTCGATAATATCGTAGCGGTGCTTAGGTGAAGTCCTGCGATGGTAGAACATCATCATCGTCACCACGCCGTCGTGCTGACGGAACTCTCCCTCGACACTCGGCTGGATCGGAGTTTGAGGGACGTCATCGAGCTGAACGTGTGCAAGAACTCGGAGGTGTCGTGCTTTCGGTGCTTGATCGGTCGGGCCGTGAAGACGTACGACTACATCAACCGCGTTGTGCTAACTCTTCCACTTTCGGTCTATGAGGTACGTGGACAACACTCTCCCCTCTCGTTACTATGCATCACCATGATCTTGCGTGTGCGTAGGAAATTTTTGAAATTACTACGTTCCCCAATAGTGGCATCCGAGCCAGGTTTTATGCGTAGATGTTATATGCACGAGTAGAACACAAGTGAGTTGTGGGCGATAAAAGTCATACTGCTTACCAGCATGTCATACTTTGGTTCGGCGGTATTGTTGGATGAAGCGGCCCAGACCGATATTACGCGTACGCTTATGCGAGACTGGTTTTACCGTCGTGCTTTGCACACAGGTGACTAGCGGGTGTCTGTTTCTCCAACTTTAGTTGAACCGAGTGTGGCTACGCCCGGTCCTTGCGAAGGTGAAAACAACACTAACTTGACGAGCTATCATTGTGGTTTTGATGCGTAGGTAAGAACGGTTCTTGCTCAGCCCATAGCAGCCATGTAAAATTTGCAACAACAAAGTAGAGGACGTCTAACTTGTTTTTGCAGGGCATGTTGTGATGTGATATGGTCAAGACGTGATGCTATATTTTAATTTATGAGATGATCATGTTTTGTAACCGAGTTATCGGCAACTGGCAGGAGCCATATGGTTGTCGCTTTATTGTATGAAATCCAAGCGCCCTGTAATTGCTTTACTTTATCACTAAGTGGTAGCGATAGTCATAGAAGCAATAGATGGTGTAACGACAATGATGCTATGATGGAGATCAAGGTGTCGTGCCGGTGACGATGGTGATCACGACAGTGCTTTGGAGATGGAGACCACAAGCACAAGATGATGTTGGCCATATCATATCACTTATATTGATTGCATGTGATGTTTATCCTTTATGCATCTTA